CAAAAAAAAAAAAAAAGAAATAATAATAATCATATTCATAAAGGCCCCTGAGCCACCCCTAGGGTTTTGCATATTCCGTTCCCTTCGCTCTGTTAACTCCTGTCCATCCTGTGGGAACAGTTCAAACACGGCTTCCACCTGAGAAGCTCGCTGTTGACAACCTAGATGCTGTCGGGTGCCCTGAGGCATACTCTTGTAACTCCTGCGCCACCAGCCCCAGCTCCCCGCCCCCCCCCACCCCGTGCGTGCCTCCTCCCTCTCCTGTGCCCTGTCTCAGCCACACAGCCCCCTCGTTGTTCTTAGCGCGTGCCAGGTCAAGGCCTGCCTCTAGGCTGTCGCTCTTGCTCTTGCTCTGCCGCGAGCACTCTCCCTGCAGGTCCTCCCATCGCTGCCTCCAGGCCCTGGCTCAGTGTCAGCCCCTGAGAGAGCCCCTCGCTGACCTCAGCCCCACAGCCCCAGGCCCTGTGCTCACCATCGTTCCTCTCTGGGGCCTCTGCCTCTGCCTAGGGTTGCACAGTGCGTTTATTTGCTCGTGTCTTCCTTGTCGGGGCCCACCAAAGGGTGAGCCTAGGAAGGCAGAAGCCATCAATATTTGGGTCACTGGTGCGTCTCCAGAACCTAGAACAGGGCCTGGCCCCCCGAGGGCACCGCGTGAGCACCTGTGAAGCAGATGACAGCAGCGGGCACTGAGCAGGCATCCGTGGGTCCTCTCCGCAGGTCAGATTCAGAAGAAGAGCGGTGGCAGCGCTCAGGGGTGCGAAGCCGGAGTCCCCCGAAGTCCCGATGGCGCTCCAGGGATGGGTCCTCTCAGTCCGACTCGGGAGAGGAGCCGTCACGGAACCAGTGGTCGCGGCGGCGGCGGCGGCGAGCGCGCTCCTGGTCCCCGGGCTCCTCGGCGTCCAGCTCCGCATCTCCTGGGCGACCCCAGAGCCCCCGGGCAGCCGCGGCCGCCCTGAGCCAGCAGCAGAGCCTGCAGGAGCGCCTGCGGCTGCGCGAGGAGCGGAAGCAGCAGGAGGAGCTGATGAAGGCCTTCGAGACGCCCGAGGAGAAGCGCGCGCGGCGGCTGGCGAAGAAGGAGGCCAAGGAGCGCAAGAAGCGGGAGAAGATGGGCTGGGGCGAGGAGTACATGGGCTACACCAACACCGACAACCCCTTCGGCGACAACAACCTGCTGGGCACCTTCATCTGGAACAAGGTGGGCCCCCGGGTGCCGCTGTCCCCGGAGACCCTCCCCGCCTGCACGCCACCGTGAAGGAGTTCGTTTTTTGTTTGTTTGTTTGTTTTTTGAGACGGAGTCTTGCTCTGTCGCCAGGCTGGGGCGCAGTGGCGTAATCTCGGCTCACTGCAGCCTCCACCTCCTGGGTTCAAGTGATTCTTCGGCCTCAGCCCCCCGAGTCGCTGGGACTACAGGCGCGTGCCACCACACCCGGCTAATTTTTGTATTTTTTTTTTAGTAGAGACGGGGTTTCATCATGGCGAGAAGAGAGTTAGTTTTACACGCGCACGCGTAACCCAGCTTCTGCCGCCGTCAGCTTTTTTTTTCTGTGGCGCAGCGTCCCGCTCTGTCCCCCAGGCTGGCGTGCGGTGGCCTGATCGTAGCAGCCTTGACCTCCCGGCCTCAAGTGATCCTCCCGCCTCAGCCTTTTGACTTGCTGGGACCACAGGCGCTGCCACCACGCCCAGCTAATTTTGTATTTTTTTGTAGAGATGGGGTCTCACTGTGTTGGCCAGGTTGGTCTCGAACTCAAGTGATTTTCCCACCTTGCCCTTCCAAAGTTCTGGGATTACAGGCGTGCGTCACTGGGCCCGGCCCACTGTCACTTTCTTGCCATTAGCTGTCTCTGGCAGCGTACGGCTTCGGTCATTCTTTCCCCAAGCACCAGCCAACCTGAAACCTGTCTAGAGAACAAGCTGTTGGTGTCGCGTACCCAGGACAGGGTTCCACGGTGCCCGGCGCGCTGTCGTCTGAGCTGGTTGGTTCATTCTGTGCCAGCCATTTAGTCACCAGCCGCATGTGGCGTCAAACAAGAGAGTGTACCGTGTCTTCTTTCTGGAGGGCAGAAGTCCGAAATGAAGGTGTGGGCAGGGCCGCAGTCCCATCAGGGGCCCAGCGGAGGCCACTCCTGCGCCTCCCAGCTCCGAGTCGTGGCGGCCATTCCTTGGCCCTCCCTGGCTTGCGGCCGCAGCGCCCGGCCTCCACCTGTTTTTCATGGCTGGCTCTTCCCCTGTGTTTGTCACCACGTGGTGTTCTCCTCGGTGTGCCTGTGTCTAAGTGTAGCATTGGATGACGGCTGGCCACCTCCAGGATGACCTCATCTTACCTACGTTTACAAGACCTCATTTCTTTTTTCTGAGACGGAGTCTCTCTCTGTTGCCCAGGCTGGAGTGCAGTGGCGTGATCTGGACTCACTGCAACCTCCGCCTCCCGGGTTCAAGTGATTCTCCTTCCTCAGCCTCCTGAGTAGCTGGGATTACAGGCACGTGCCACCACGCCCAGCTAATTTTTGTATTTTCAGTAGAGACAGGGTTTCACCACGGTAGCCAGGATGGTCTCCAACTCCTGGCCTCACGATCCTCCTGCCTTGGCCTCCCAAAGTGCTGGGATTACAGGCGTGAGCAACTGTGCCCAGCCAATACCTCATTTCAAATAAGGTCACAGCTGCAGCGGCAGGGATTCAGGTGGGGATGTGCCTGTGGGGGACACAGTTTATCCAAAGCGGCGCCCTCTGGTGGAGGGGGTGAAGCAGGCAGCGTGTGGGCTGGGCCAACTCCACCACTCCCCAGTTGCGCATTTGGGAGCCGCGGGGTCCCCAGGTGGCCTCTGCTCAGTGTTGGGAACACATCGAGGTCCTTCCACCTCAGGACCCTCACACCGCCCTGGCTGTGCCTGGCATGCTGCGCCCCTTCCCCGGCTGTCCTCCGTCAGGCCTCAGCTGACGTCTCCTCTTGAGAGAGCCCTTCCTGGCCCTGTGCTCCCCGGCCCCCCAGGGCTCCTTATTGAGGCACCCACGGCTGCCTGGCCCTTCATTGCCACCACGTGCTGGGCACTGCCGTGAGCCCTGCGCGAGCAGCCCTGGAAGTGGAATGTGCGGTCACTATTAATGTGTGTGGCAGTGGCCCCAGGCTGGGCTGGAGAGACCACAGAGTGGCCTGGGCGTTGGGAGTGGTCCCCAGCCAGGCAGCCTGTGTCCCTGGAGGCAGGTTCTTCCAGGTGGGAGGGGTCCTGGAAGCCCCTCATGGGACGGGGTGCCGGCAGCTTGGGGAAGGCGGTGGGGAAGCGGGCACTCTGCATCAAGCTCGCAGACAGCTGCCACAAGCAGCCAGCTTTGAGGGTGTCCAGGCTGGGGCGGAGCTGAACAGAGACAGTGGTGGGGGTGCTGGTCTGTGCTCAAGGCAGGTGTGCCTGGTGCTTCCAGGCGCTGGAGAAGAAGGGGATCAGCCACCTGGAGGAGAAGGAGCTGAAGGAGCGGAACAAGAGGATCCAGGAGGACAACCGGCTGGAGCTGCAGAAGGTGGGTCCCTGTCCTGGGGCCGTCCCCCAGCCCAGGCGTCCTCGGACCAATCCCTGTGCCCAGGACAGTCGGGTGGGGCCGGGCTCCTGTCACAGGCCGCCCTCGGCCTCCGGTGCCCGCAGGTGAAGCAGCTCCGGCTGGAGCGGGAGCGGGAGAAGGCCATGCGCGAGCAGGAGCTGGAGATGCTGCAGCGGGAGAAGGAGGCGGAGCACTTCAAGACGTGGGAGGAGCAGGAGGACAACTTCCACCTCCAGCAGGCCAAGCTGCGGTGAGCGGCCAGCCTTCCCCACCCTCCTCTGACCCAGACATGGCAAGCTCGCACCTGCCCGGGGCCAGGGCACTGGCTGTCACTCTGTCTGGAAGCCACACTATTCTCCCACCCTTCAGGGTCCCGCAAGGCCCCTCCTAGGGAGGCCCGTCCTGATCCCTTCCCGGGCAGCCAGGCTTCTGCCTCCTGCCCGCGCCCACCGGGCTGGGTGCATAGGAGTCGGACCCAGGTGAACACACCCCTGCCACTGCGCGTGCCGGATGCCGGGTCTGCACCAGCTGCGGCTGTCCCTCCCGCACTTAGCCCACGAGGGTGGCACCCCCATCCACCTGGTTTACAGACAGGAAAGCTGAGGCTCCGGGTTGCTTTGGGCCCCATGGTGGGTATCCGAGCCCAGGCCCAGTTGTGCCTGCTCCCCAGCCCAGCCCTGGCCCTTGCCTTGCCCAGCAGCTTGCACCAGTCCCGGCAAGGGGCTGACACTGGGTGACATCAGGCTCCTCCCAGCTCAGACCTGCCTGGTGATGGGCTCCCTTGGGTTGGCCCAGGGCCTGCCTGTCATGTACCCACCTGCAAGCGAACAGCAGAAGCCCCAGCTCCCTGCCCCAGTGGCCTGCCTGGGGGAGGTGGTGGTTAAAGGCAGTGACGGCTTTGGCCCCCACCTGCCTCTGCTTCAGCTCCTCCACTGTTCCCCATCACAGCTCACGGAGAAGCCGCCCTCCCAGGCACCATCCCAGAGGCCTCTGGGAAGCCCCTCCCACCCGGCCCACCCTCCGGGTCCAGCTGTGTGCACTTTGTCTGCCCTACTGACCTGTGTCCTCTGGCTGACCCAGCTCACTCTACCTTATGCCTCCTCCCCTGGGAAGCCTTCCCTGACCACCACCCAGCGGTCAGGCTCCTCTCCAGCTCCCACTGGTGCAGTCAATCCAAAGGCAGGGCCTTCAGCAGGGAGGGTACAGCCGGGGCTCTGATGCCGCCTCCCCTGCCCCCCATAGCTCCAAGATTCGCATCCGCGATGGGCGGGCCAAGCCCATTGACCTGCTGGCCAAGTACATCAGCGCCGAGGACGACGACCTGGCCGTGGAGATGCACGAGCCCTACACATTCCTCAACGGCCTCACTGTGGCCGACATGGAGGACCTGCTGGAGGACATCCAGGTACCAGCTGCCCAAGGCTCCGCCAGCCTGCAGGCTGCCCAGCTGCACCCAGGCCCTGACCCACCCCCCGTCCCCCACCTCCAGGTCTACATGGAGCTGGAGCAGGGCAAGAACGCTGACTTCTGGCGCGACATGACCACCATCACCGAGGATGAGATCTCCAAGCTCCGCAAGCTGGAGGCGTCGGGCAAGGGGCCAGGTAACCGCAGACGGGTGCCTGGGCTCGGGGGAGCGCCAGGGGCTGCGAGGTTCACCCGGAATCCTTAGACTTGCTGTGGGGCCCAGTGCTCTCTGCAGACCTGTTTTCCCAGGTGGGCTCTCCGGGCCAAGCCACCAGGGGGCAGCAGCGGGCAGCAGGCCCTGGGAGGGTTGTGGGGTGGCGCCCTGTCTGGGGTGCATGGCCAGCAGCGGCCAGACCTAGGGCGTCCCGTAAACACTGACTCGGCAGGTTTCAGTGCTCTCCACGGCTCTGCGCTCTCAGTGGCTCTGCCTGGTCAAAGGCCGTGCCACCCTGGTTCCCCCTTCCATCGATCAGTTCGTGCCCCTCCGGCCTGACGGGCTTCTAAAATCACGTTTCCCTCCCATTTCCCTCCCCTGCGTGCGGTTGCACACCCGCGGTCCCCGGGGGTGCTCTACAGTGTCTCCCCCAGCACTGTGGACCTTCGGGCTGGGCTGTTCCCTAGGGCGGGGCCATCCTGGGCTCTCCTAGTCCCGACAACCATAAACGTCCCCAGACATTTATGATGAGACCCCCCTCCCGGAAAGAATTGGCCTGGGGGCAGAATTGGCCTGGGGGCAGAATCGCCCTAGGTGACACCCCCTTGGTCTAAAAGCCAACCACAGCAGCTCTGGCCCCTGTCCCCCAAGAAACCCACTCCGCGCGGCGGCTGTAACAGCACCTGCCTCTCGTGGGCCTCGTCCCTGTCGGTAGGACCCGGTCCTTCCCCTCCCCGCTGTCTCTCTGAGGCCCTGGCTGCCGGCAGCCCTTGGTGGCCCAGGATTGTGGGAGGCTGGGTCCGTGTCAGCGTGGTCTGCGGCAGAGCCTTCCCCGTAGGAAGAGCCCGTGGCTTTCCTCTTTTTCAGTGGAGCTGTCTTCCCCAGAGGTCACTCAGTCATCCCGCCCCTCACGTGGTCCCCTCCACTGGGTGCATCCTCCCATAACCTCAGAGAGAGGCAGGGGAATTCTGCGGCATTAGAGGGGTCTTTGTGTGTTCCTGTTGGTGGCAGCAGGGCCGGGGGAAGACTTCTGGGAGCTGGCCATTTTCCTGCTGAAGCCCGAGAGCCCACCCACCGGCAGCAGGAAGCCTGGGACACTTTTCCAGCAGGCCCCATTGCCCTGGGCCTTGGGCCTCTCCCGCCACTCCCCAGCCCAGTCACGTGCAGCCTTCTCCCTCCGCCATGACCCTGCCCGCCTTCCGCTCATGCGTTACAGCTGGGGACGCCAGGTGGCTTCTGTGGCCTCTGAGGGAGTTTGTTCTGATTCTCCTTTTAGCATGATTTCCAGGAGCAGCGAACCGTGGGGTCTGGACTTAGAGCCCTGCCTTGGTCTCCTTCAGTTAAACCGGACTTTTTCTTTTACTTGTCATTTTTCATAGACAAGGTCTCGCTCTGTGGTCCAGGCTAGAGTTCAGTGGCACAGCCATGGCTCACTGTAGCCTCAACTTCCTGGGCTCAGGTGATCCTCCAGCCTCAGCCTCCCGAGTAGCTGGGATTACAGGCACTCACCACCATGCCCAGCTAATTGGTTTGTAATTTTTATTTTTGAGGTGGAGTCTTGCTCTGTCGCCAGGCTGGGAGTGCAGTGGTGTGATCTCGGCTCACTGCAACCTCCGCCTCCCGGATTCAAGTGATTCTCCTGCCTCAGCCTCCCGAGTAGCTGGGACCACAGAGGGCGCACCACCATGCCCAGCTAATTTTTGTATTTTTATTAGAGACGGGGTTTCACCATGTTGGCCAGGATGGTCTCAGTCTCTTGACCTCAGCTGATCCACCCGCCTCAGCCTCCCAAAGCGCTGGGATTACAGGCGTGAGTCCCCATGCCTGGCCAATTTTTTTTTTTTTTTTTTTCCTTTTTGTAGAGATGGGTCTTGCTGTGTTGCCCAGGCTAGTGGCTAGGATTAAAGGGGTGAGCCACTGCAGGCTTTTTCTTTTTTGACAAAATTATGTAAGTTTTTTATTTCTGTGGGTTACTGGGGAACACGTGGTGTTTGGTTGCGTGAATGAGTTCTTCAGTGGTGAGCTGTGAGACTCTGGTGCGCCCATCACCTAGCTTTCTCTAGGAAATTCTAACCCTACCATAGGGTGTGCAGGAAAAAGTGGGTCTCATCCCAGCCCAGCCTCGTTGGCCTCCCACCCTGTGTAGGGCCTGGCCTCCCCACACAGCCTGCAGCCCTTGGCCTGCAGCCCCTGCCTCTAGCAGCTGCTGGGGCCCCCAACTCAACCCCTCGGCCTCCTTGTGGACAGTGGGGAGGCGTCCAGATGCGCCACAGCGTCCAGACCCGGCTTCTTATAAAAGCTGCCTCAGCGCTTGGCTTCCAGGCCCTGCCGCCGGGCTCTTCCGCTTGGGTTTCGGTGTTCGTGGCAGCCCCGCCTGTCTGAGCAGAGCTGCACTCTGCTTGGCTGGGGCTGCCACGGATTCCAGGGCCACTTAGGGCCCCGAAAAGGGGCTGCAGCTCTGGGCCGAGTCCAGGGTCCCAGGCAATTGGCTGGAGAGGACTCGGGTCCCTCTAGACCCTCCAGTTCTCTGTGGTCTGGGTGTGGGCCTCTTGACCCTCTGCCCGCCACCGGGGGCTAGAGAAGGCAGGTTTCCAGCAGGGCACACATGCTAGTCACCCCGCCCGGTATGTCCCCGGCAGGTCTGCACGGAGCTCTCCGTGGGCCCAGCATGGCTCGGGGAACAGCAGCAGTTGAGCCCCAGTGCCCGCCTCGGGAAGCTGCCGTCGCTGGATGGTCAGGGAGGACTTCCTGATGGAAGGGATGTTCTCCCTGAGCATGGAGGATGAGAGGAATTCAGGAGGCGAACGGGACAGAGAAGGATGGGTGGCTGGGAGGAAGCACAGCACATGCAAAGGCCCAGAGG